AAGAATGAAAGACCATGTGAGAAGCAATTCAAGCAAATCTTTAAATTTTTCTCTTCTTTGTGCATAATTATGAATGTTATAATGGCACAAATACAGCCAATTTTGTTAGATTATTTTACTGAGAACAACAACTGAATGAACAACTGAACAACAACTGACAAAAATTAATAAGAAGCATGATACATATGCATAAAATCACAGAGTCTAGAAAGTTCTTAGCTACACAATGTTACATAATAATGCATCAGCAATAATTAATGTGGTTACAGTAGTAACACAAGCAGAAACCATACACAAGTACATGTGCATTAAAAATAGACCATAGAATTCTAGGGTTATACCATTAGTGGCCACATGATGCTGATCCCAAATGTTGTTTTAAAGTGACTGATCAGGGTAAAACACATAATTTATATCTTTTTGCTGATAATGAATATATAGCTCAATAAGCCTCATTATCATGAAATGACAATAGTTGTTTATTAAATTTTTATTAAAGAAAATGGTTAAAAGAGTTGAAACAATATGTAAATGTATGCAAGTTCATTTCAGTTATTAAAATATTGAATGTTACTGGTACTTCATGTTAATTTTAGATGAATAACATAGATTAAAGAAAAGGGGAAATCAGTAGGAATAGTTAATTTGATTATAATTTGTGACCCAATATGAGAAAACCAGGCTATCTGCGGGAATTATCAATTAGAGATATGGCTTCTTAAAGTTGTGACAGCCGTACCTTATCAAAACTGAGATTATACCAAAAATATATTGTATAAAGAATTTCCTTTCATTTGATACCAAGTTTGCCCTAAAATAATTTGAAAGAGGTCATTTACAGACCTTTCTTTTTGTTGTGTACCATGTAAATAATGCAAGATATAATGATAAAAATGGCTGTAACTCAATTTCATTCATTTAGACTTCTTGTTGCATAAATAAGCATAACTCAGCACTAGATGTGTCAAATGACATGGAAGGACCAAAAGATAGGAAAAACTTTGCTTAATTAAGAAAACCATAAATGTCAATTTTCAATTTTGGAGCATATAGCCTGGTTTTCTCATATTGGGGACACATTTATATGAATATGTATGCAAGGGCGTAGCTAGCATAAGGCTAGGGTAGGCTATAGCCTACCCTGAAGTTCAGAAGTCAGAATTGAAGTTTAGCCTAGTTTACCTATATTGAATTTCTGCCTTAAGTCACTTATGACCAAAGATTATAGAAGTTTAGGGTAGCTGTCTCAACTGGCAGTTACTCACTCAGTCACTTTTGACACAGGCAAACAGAGACAGGAGAAAGAAAAGAAAAACAGCCATTTTAGCACAATTATTATAATTTATTAAGGTGGAGTCTTTACATAATTAACTTAATTAATTAGCTAGCTTAATAAAATTATAAAAAGTTAACTTTAAGTGAAGCTGTAGTAATATGTGGTTCTACGATGCAAGTCTGGTAGCGAGAGTGAGGGTTAGCGCTCATGTTAAGTCTCGTTTAGTTGACACCCAAACACTGAAAATTATTATTACACAACATGCATTTATATATAGACAATATATCAATGAATAATTCATGAGTTCTGAT